TTATTATTATTATTATTATTATTTAAGTTTCTCCAGATATTTGGCATGGTATTGACAACTTAGCATATTATTGCATCACAAGTTCAAAAAATTAGGGATAAGCTCCTAAGTGATGAAGGCAATACCATCCTCCACTTGTCATATATATGCCATTCAGTGGCCTTCACCTAAGACTATTTAATAACCTAAGAACTGAAACAACTACACCAATGTCTAGTATCCAACAAGGAAGAGAAACTCTCTTTTACTTCTCTTCTGCTTTAAATTTTTGGGGTTTCCAATATCCCATGAACTAGAATGCACATCCTTTCAATATCAAGGCAATTGTTATGTTTTCCATTGGTTGACTTCCATGCACAGATCCAAATTGAGTTATTTTCTAAGATAAAAGCTCTGCATCACACTGCCTCAAAAGTCTCCCAACACTCCCTAGCAAAATAGTCTTTATGAACCAAGTCACAGCTATGGTTAGCAAAATATCATAAACCTTAACACAGTGCAGTATTTTCAGTTCCTAATTAGAAGAAAGCACAACATTAGAATAGTTTGCCTTAAAGAAGTGCTGATTTGTTGGCTGGGTAGATATTAATAAATTCTTGTATAAGAAGGCAAAATTTTTATGTCAAAAATTAATGTCGCACAACTCAGAACTTCATTAGTTGTTTAGAGCAACTGAGGAACAAACTTCCTGATAATTTCTAGCATCAGAAGTACATATGTTGTCTCATTTCAAGTTGTCTAATAATTAGTTGTAAAATCTACCTAAAGTCAATCCAGTTTCATATTCTATTCCATAAAGCATTCAACCAAGAGAAAAAAAGTAGAGATGTAATTGAACTCAGAAAGAAAGAGCTGGTTTTACAAATGGAAATTGCTAATTAGACAGAACATAGAAGGAGAAAAGGCTGCACTCTTAATGTAGAAGGTATGTTAAATGGGAAAAACCCAGAGGGTTAAGCCACATCAAATTGTCTGTGATCAAAGGACTCTTATCCAACACTACATTTTCTCTTGGTAGAACTCATCCTACAATATACTCAATAAGATTGTGTCAACAGCATAATGAATAAAGCTAGCAAAGCCTTACATATAGGATATGTATATATATATATATATATATATGTTTAATTACTGAAACCATATAATCACACCCATATCAACCCCTAAGTTCACAAAAAAAAAAAAGGAAGCTACAGAAGAATAACGTAAAATGGCTATATTATAAAGATACCATCTCCACAAGCAATGTCAGCACTCGATGGAGAATATCTCATTTAATGGAACCATTTGAACTAGCTAATGCTAAAGTTGACATGAATTAGCCCACTTCTAAAACAAGATTAAAAAAAGAAAAAAGAAAAAGGAAAAAAAAAAAAAAAAGAAATTCCAGCAGCATAAAAATCAACTCTAACAAGCTTGAAAATATTGCGATAGCATTAAGCATTAGGCCTGAAATTTATTACGAGATAATTATAAAACTAAATAATTTCAGATTGCAACTACT